ACTTAATAATTTATACTAATTTATACAAGATCTAGAATATTTCAATACTATCGCAAAAATGTAAGATTTTTGTAAAGACTGTATATGAGTTTCCAAACAGTGTTCGAACGGGTTTCAAAGCACAAACTAGCAGATTTAAGCAGAATAACATCCCTATATTAAGCGCATAAAAAATGTAACGGTCGATTGTAAATTAATAATTATAAATGAGAAAATTTTTTTCGAATTTAATAAATTTCATTTTCTTTGTATAAAGTTACTTATTGTTATAACAAACAACTATGATGTCAAGTAAAGCACTACTAATTGGCATGACATTTACTAATATGGCTCTAGAGAGCTACGTATACAAATAATTTATCATTTGCAAGGGCGTGGAAATACCCAAAACGGGTTCCCTAGTTTTTTAATAAGCTATTGGCTGATGCTACATGCACATCATAGTTTGATCGACCAATCAGTTTCTAACTGATCTAGCTCGTTTTAACGATTTAATACCCCATATTGGTTCTTCTGCATTATCTGCATTTACTTTACTTAAACAGAAAGGGCCCTTGACAATACGTAGATAGTTAACCACATCGATACGTATAATTTAAAAATTATATATTTATGTAACAAAGATAATACGTACGTACGTATACGTAATTAGTGAACTATTGTAAATTTCCTTTTTTTATTTAATTATAAAAGTTTAAATAGACAAACTCTTTCTCTAAACTCATTATATATGTCTTAGTATATAAAATTAAATTCTATAACCTGATTTTTTTTTTCTATAAATTGCCTATTAAAGCTAACCCAAAATAATCGGTTTAAAAGAGTTTGACTATGTACATTCTGATCAATTATTTATGAACAAAATCAACTCCTTTTCCGATATTCTTCTTTAATTCAGGTAAAGCTGCTTCTAAAAGCTCTTTTTCATATTGACTTAATGGTCCTAAATCGTGAATTTTGCCCACTCCCTCACGACTTAATTCGACATTTGACGCGAAATATTCTATTCCCTTAGATTCAAATAAATGTGATTTCACGTAAGCAGGCTCAATGACACCACTCTCACCGTTTAGTGCTCGAAGTAGAGAGTTGGTGAAGCGAGAAGCTGCGAAAGCCATGGAAAGCGTTGCTGAACCAGTTCCTAAATTATTTTAAATTATTATAATGCATCAATAATATTTGTAATTTAATGATGTTTCAATGCTTAATATAGATATAGTTAATACTCATCATCACTACTTACCGGCTTTAGCTTTAACCACTTCGTCACCACCGAATTGTATTCTGTGCGTTAGAGCTTTCAATTCGTCATCGGTGAATTTCGAGCCAGATTGAAATATAAGGGGGATGATGGTCACACCAGAATGTCCACCAACTACTACGATATTCTCATTTTTAGGATCAGTACTCTTCAATTCGGATACAAACCGAGATGCTCGAACAATATCCAACGTCGTAACTCCAAAAATTCTTTTATTGATTTATTTATATGTAAGATTAATTAATTAATTAATTATAAATGTGCAAACATTGAAGTGTGATTCACACCTTTTTGGATTATAGACTTTATGTTTTTTGAATATTTCAGAGACAATTGGCACAGTAGAATTAACAGGATTCGATATGACTGCCATATACGCATTAGGTGCATATCTGATCATTAAGAGTTTGTTAATAAAAATTAAATTAAACCAATTCATATTGTAATTGACAGTTACTGTGCAGCTGCTGTAGCCAAATCCCTGACAATTCCTGCATTAGTCTATATCATTAAAAAATAATTTGATTCGTATTAAATTGTGATGCTTGTTTAATAAAAAATGTAATATGAATTGGAAATTAAAATAACCTACGTTAAACAAATCATCACGAGTCATGCCAGGTTTACGAGGAACTCCAGCTGGAATAACAATTATTGTAGCGTCTGTGACTGCATGTTTAAGACCATCGTTATCAGGGGCGTAGCCAGTGACCTGCCAAGTTTAAACCGATATGTGAAGTTGAAAGGAGCAAAGTAACTTTTAATAAATAATATTTTACAAACCTTGCTGTGGGTGTTAATATGGCTTAAGTCAGCAGCAACACCAGGTGCATTCACAATATCGTAAAGAGACAAATGAGATATTGATTCGTTAAGCTTGAGAAGAAGTGAAAGTGGTTGCCCGATACCTCCGGCGGCACCAAGGACAGCTACTTTGGTAGCATTTGCTGCTGAAGTAGAGAAAGCACGCTTGGCTGTTCCAATGTTAAGTCGCCGAACGGAAAACATCTTTATAATTAAAATATTAAAATATTATTTTATTATGTTTTTTTTTTTTTTTTTTTTTTTTTTGGACTTTGCAAAAAAGACCGCCGAAAAAGAAAAATTTTTTATCGTGAAAAGTTACACGGATTTAGATCATTTTATCTTTTCCACGGATTTATTAATGAATACCTATTGGGTGCAAAACTTGTTAGCACTCCCGATTCTTCATACATAGAAAGATTGGCAGCTGCAAGTCAATTGCTTAGGGTAACTTGTTTATACACTTTAAGTAGGGATGCTAAGTAATAAACCGCTAATTACAAGTGTTTTCATAACGATGAGATAAATTTTGGGACAAATGAACAAATTGCCCAAGGCTGAATCAATAAGTTAACTCATTGATTTCATCTGAAAATTTTTTCTGTTCCAGAAGCAGATAGACACACCGATTGGATTTGGTAATTGTTTTTCCATTGCGATGGTTTTGGGAGGTTGTCTAGAGCACTAATTTTGTCAAGGTTGATTCTCGATTTTGACGTCATATCAAAAAATTTTGTCTATGAAACTGCCTTCTGCGCATTAATTAAAAGTTTTCCTTGTAAAGTTTTGATATATAAAATTCTTATATCCCAATATAATGGCAATAATCCTGACACTAACCTAAAAACTCGAAATTTTTATTCGAAACTTTTGGTGGCGATTCCACCCTCGATATTATTACATGCAAAACTAAGGTATCACAATTAATTACAAACTATATATTTCTCTCACCATCAGGAAATTTTAAAAGCTATTAATACCGTCAATTAAAATTGAAGCAATTAATTGATAATAAATAAAATATTGATTATATAATCGATTTAGTTTAATCATTTTAATTTTTGTATATGTCGATTATTATCAATTTGATTTAAATCGATTATCAATACCACCATCAATTATTATCGATTAAATTTAATCAGAGCGTATAAAATCTAATCAAAATATACATACTACTACGTAAATCTAGTTGCTCCAGGTTATGAGACTAGTATCACCAGGCAAAAAATTTTGCAAATCACGTGATCAAATTGGATGTTTATTAAATTAATCAATGCATTTTCTAACGTTATTAATCATTAAAATTTTTTTTTTTTTTATTTATTAAGGTGAGGTCACGCCTTTGGTTTTTATTAACATATACTTATTACGACAAGTTCTTTACATATACACTAATGCATCACTACAAAGACTTAGATTAATTTATCTATGACCTAAATCTACTAAAATGTTACATATCCCACACATGTCACACCTAGTTTTTGCTTTCCAACTAACTATTTCTAGTAATACCACATTCCCCCCATGTTTCACACAACCAGTCATAACTTCCAATTTGGTATGTTAGATGTCTGCTTCTAATGAGCTTCCAATTTGGTGTACCTGTAAGTATGATCCATTGCAAGTTCCTACTAAGGTACTTTATTCGTGCAATCATGATTGATGTAGGTGGTCTTTCTACAGTCTCGTATCTCAAGCCAGAACTTGCTGCCTAGTTAGGTTCACCACATAACTGAGTTGGTATTACATTGTTGATTAAGGATTTATTTTAAGTTTGCATCATCTTAACCAGTTTGTATTTCTTCATGCACCATTTCTTTCTATGAATGTTTTAATTTTTTACTTATTAGCCCAGGTACTACTAACTCATATCTTAAGCCAAGCCCTGCTGCCACCGCTGGTTTGCCTACTTCAGGACTTAACGTTTTTTTTCTGATATAGTGGTACCAACTAATCTGTTTGTATTTCTTCATATAATGTATTATTAGAACCATATTGCGTAGCTATTTTAATGACCTATCTTGTTAAAGATCAGCCTAATACTATGAAATTCTTTAAGTAGCAAGCAGTTCTACTTCCAACCATAGGCCTTGTATCATATTACTAGGAGGTGTACTTCAATTCATCTTGACTTTCAACTTGATTCTTCATCATTGGTTGGTGTTGCATTATTGTTAGTATATTCTGGCTTCTTTTGTCAAAGATTTCTATATAGGTATGATCAGAGTTTTGACTTGGTGCTTTTAGACGTACTAGATTAGCTAGCCTGTCTTTATGAAATTACCTTCTTTAGCTAGTTGTTCCCACTACCAGAGGTGCTTCTTGTTTAGATAAGGCTAATCTTTTACTACAGTTCTTTCACATGTTTATCGCTTCTCTTATCATTCCAGTTTCAGTAGTATTATATCACTTTCCTAAGTAAGTATCCAGCATTATTTCTAAATTAAGACTAATGTATACAATATATTGATTATTCTTTCAAGCAAGTACTCTACAAGTTAGATGCGAGGATGTTGGTATTGCCTAATATAGGGGTGAAGGGATGTTGGTATTGCTTTTGAATCACCCCAACCAGAAAACTAACTTGTGTAATTTTCTATAACCTAGACTTTTGTGACGTGATGTCTGCATTCTATAATCAGAACTTCTTCTAAGAATTCCTATTCCTAGATCATACTTGTACTTAAACTTTTTACAGGGCTTTGCATTCGATTATAGCTCCTTAAGGTTATAGTAGCAAATTTAAAATTTGCTACTAGTCCAACTTGAACTGTTGACCTTGTCTGTAGGGGGTTTGGAAGCTTAATCAGTAAGCTATGAGGTCCAAACCCATCATTAAATTAATCACTGAATTAAATAATAAATAAAAGTAAATTGATTAGATTTTTTGCACTCTTTGTCTTGTGCACTTTTTCTTTTTTCTGTATTCTTTTTCATTTTGTATGTTTTTTTCTTTTTTTATTTAATATACAAATATAACAAATACTGATTATGAAAAAAAAATGCAGTTGCTGCAGAAGTTATTACATGAAGGAAGATTTTATTAGAAAAAATAGAAAAATTGTTTCATCATTTAGCAAGTATAGAACTTTGATTAGTAAATTTATTACTGTTTTTTTTAATTTTTTCATTAATTATATTGAAGCAAGTAACAAAAATGAATAGAATAAACTTATCATTTATCAAATTATAAACCTTGTATCAAAGACTAATAGATTTATATATTGTATGTTTACCATACATATAATAAGCTGAAAAATAAGATTCATTTACTTTTATTATAACTATAAAATTGAAAAAAAATCAAAAATGCTTGAATTGATAATACTGCAAAACAATGAAATACTGAACCTCGATTACCACAATACAAATATAAAGGATCAATTTTTATTAATATAAAACCACCTCATAAGTTGGCTTATATTCACATTCATCATCTAACATATCCATGCCTTCGATCAACTACAGTTTTTTTGAAATTTAGGAATATATTTAACAAAATCAATTTAAAGTTTTTCAAATTTATTATAATATAAAGTTTCAGACCTTAATGAATATATTCATATTTGTAATAGCAAATCTATTACTGGTATAAACATTTAGGGGTTGATGAGTATAAAATGGCTAAAGACCAAGTAGAATCAACAATCAAATACCTTTCTTAACAATCTTATTTTAATATAATTATTTAGCAACCTATAATAGTTGTTTTTACAATTCTTTTAATTGATATTTTTCTAAAAGATCGAATTAATATAATTATTATAGATGTAACTTATAATACAAATCGACTAAAGTATAAACTTTATACTATTTTTAAAATTATAAATGAAATTAGATTCCTTATAATATATCTGTTATTAAAACCTGACTAAGAAGAAAAGTGTTTGACGATTATATTAAATTAGTTTTATTTAATTAGAAAATAGAGCTTTAATCAGTTTATTCTTTCTTAAGTGATAAAGATTTTTCACAAATAACACCAGCTTAAATGGTCTAGCTTTATACATATATTCAGTTATGCTATTAGTACATTCTTTAAGCTATAAAAAAAAACTTACTAGTTTCAAAATTGTTCATTTACTATACAATGCACATGATACATATATTATTTGTTTAAAGATTAATTTAATTTAGCAACTCGAATTAAAAAATAGAGATATATATAATAAGCTCTCTTTAAATAATGATGAAGTTGAAAGTATAAATAAATATCAATTATTTTGTCAAAAGGATTTTTATGAGCATATTATTCAACTAGTTCGAATTCATTTCTTTGTATATCTATTAATTCTAACTGAAACTCAACCCAAATTAAGAAATTCGCAAAAAATTTAGCAATACAGTATTAAAGAATTGTATAATTATTGTAAAATTATCAATTTACTTCATATTTGGGCTTATATATGAAACAAATAATACTATCCAGAATGCTAGAAATTATAGGCTCATTTAGTAATGAAGCATATTAATATCTTACGATCCTCTATAACAATTGAGAGTTATTGAAAAGTGATCAAATATGATCATCTTTTAGAATACAATTGTGCATGTCTTGATTTATTAGTTTATGTTATTGTAATATAAATAATATCTAGACAGGTGGATCAACTGCAGCAATTACGAGATCATAGAATTGTAGTATCTTAATATAATAACCTTAGAACAGAATAGAATCAACTTAATAAAAAAGTAATTAACTCTAATTCTCAACAATTTACTAATACAAAATGCTGGATATGCATATATTTTAGTTTTTTGTTTAGTAGATTTTTTATCTGCAAATATTTAGTTTAGCAAATAAATCTAATTCTAATTGGATTCTTTAAAAAGGTATATTTTATTTTTTAATTTATTATATTTTACATTAATAATTTAAATATTTTTAGGTTTAGTATCAAGAATATTATCTATTTCTGCAATTTATTAAGAAATATAATAATCATTTTGAAAACTTACCAGAAAATCTTTTTTTTTTAGTTTTAAACAAATCCATAATTAACTATATATCATATCAACATAATACTTTAAATGAAAAAATTTTATATACTCTTTTAATTCAAGAAAATATACTATTTCAAGATGATATACAGTTCTAATATAATATATTACTAAATAACAATATGCTCTTTTAAAATAACAAATTACTTCCAATAGATATGTTTTCTCAAAACAATATATTAGTCTAAAGCAACATCTAATTT